GTCTGGTTTTGGCTGAAGATACTGAGCTTTTCCATCGCCCCTTGCAGATGTAGTCAGTCTGATTCCTGTGTGCTCCATCTGGCGAAGTCCATGTGTACAGTCACCATTTGTGTTGTTGAAAAATGTATTTGCAATGCATAAGTGCTTGGTCTTATAAAATTCTGTCATGTGATCTCCAGCATTATCTCTGTCACCAAGGCCAAATTTTCCAACTACCAGTGATTCTTCTTTGTTTCCAACTTTTGCATTCCGGTCACCAGTGATAATTAACACATCTTGATTGCATGTCTGGTCAATTTCAGACTGCAGAAGTTGATAAAAATCTTAATTCCCTCATCTTAGGCTTTGGTAGTTGGTGCGTAAATTTGAATAATAGTTGTAGTAAGTGGTCTTCCTTATAGGCGTATGGATATTATCCTATCACTGACAGCATTGTACTTCAAGACAGATCTTAAAACATCCTTTGTGATGATGAATGCTGCACCATTCCTTTTCAAATTGTCATTCCTGGCATAGTAGACAAAATGGCCAAAACCAGTCCATTTCATCCCACTAGTGCCTACGATATCGATGTTTATGTGTTCCATTTCATTTTTGACAACTTCCAATTTTCCTAGATTCATACTTTGTATATTCCATGTTCTGATTATTAATGGATGTTTGCAGCTGTTTCTCCTCAATATGAGTCTTGCCACATCAGCAAATAGAGGTCCCAAAAGCTTTACTTTATCTATGTAAGTAAGGTTGGTTCTATTTTGACGAGGCAGCTCTTTCCCAGTCATATTTTGAGAGCCTTCTGACTTAAGGGGTGCATCCTCCTGTATTGCATTGGACGATGTTTCTGGGCTATTCATAACATTGCACAGTAATGTATCAGACAATGTTCCTCTGCTATCCATAAGGCTTTACCGAGCCAGTTATTTAAGAAGTGGATGGCCTCTTCCTTCTTCCTAGTCTCTCTCAGTCTATAAGCTGCACTGAAACCTGTGCACCCCGTTCAGCCCTGCTGTTGTTTGAAACACTGGTGGCACAGCCTGAAGCCTCACAGCAACATGTAAACTACCACAGTGTGATAAACTGACAGACAAATTTGTCTCCCATAGCTGTTCGAAACCTCTCCTCTTCCTTCCTCTTGGGGGTGGGGCCTGTTTCCCTCTCCTTATCTTACTTAGCTCCATGCCGTTTTGTCTGGCATGCCAGCTCTGTAGAGTTACTGCTTCAGAAACCTGAGGAAGTATCACTGTGAGTTGCTGGAGAACATTATGCTGATTGAAATAGTCAGTCACAGAAGGATAAATATTATACGAGTCCATTATTGTGAAAATTCAAGGTGAGGTTTATGCAAGGAAGGACATTTATTTTGTTTATTACCAGGGATGGGAAGGAAGGGCAGGGAAAATTTCTGACTACTTAAGAGTCGTGTGTTGATTTGGGTGAAGGGAAAGGCAATATAACAAGCTTGTGTGACCAGCACAATGTCAGTAGGGAAAAGGAGGACACAAAACATACACAAAAGATATAGACATCAGAGGCAAATACTATTACATGCCCAATACTGCATTACCAGTGGCAGCAAACACTAGTCTATGGGTGAATGCATAGGCAGGTGAGAAGATCAGGTGTGGGTAGGTGCATAGGAGTATACTCATGGCCATGGATAGATTTGGCTGAAGATATTGTTACTTGTGTATTAGTGCTACAAAAATAACCATATACATTATAGAAGTAACGGGGACAGGTTTAGAGTAGCTTCTCAGTGAAAATCAAGTGCTTTGAAGGGAGACAATCATTGGACCTGTGGGCTCGGGACCATGGCCTCAGGACATCAAGCTTAATTGGCACAATGTAGTATAAAAAGTTTTGTTCTACATTCTGCTTTGATGAGTAGTGGCTGGAGTCTTTAAAGCTTTCCAGCATCCATCTAAGATACATCTATTGGTTTCCCTTCATGTGGAGCAAAGAAGAGTGAAGAAAATAAAAATCATTTGGACATAATTAGTCCAAGGATCAGATGGACCACAGGGATCTCAGCCTTCCCAACCCTGAGACCAGAACAAGATGGTACCTGGCTACTAAAGCCAAACATTCAGAAAGGTATCAAAATTGGAGATCCTGGATAGAGTAGGAAGAAAAATGTGGAACAAAATTCAAAAACACAAAAATGACCAGATCTACTGGTCAGATAGGGACCGGTGGAACCCCCTGAGCCTGTGACCTTGGGTTATCCTTCAGGCCTGGAACTGGCCTCACTTCCAGGGATTAGCTCTCAGCCCAACAGTAGAAAGTCCTACAAACAGAACACCTAACCCACGGAGATGTACCCACTTACCCTAGGGAGATGCACCCCTTAGACCATTCAACCATGAGGCATCAGAAGGGTAACATATGCATAGAGGGAAAACTGGACAGACAGGAATGCATAGATAAGAAGGGCAGAGGGAAGGGGTAGTCAGGGACTAGATGGGAGGAGAGCTTTTTATTGTTGGGATTGTAATTGGAGCCATGAAACCAAATGTGCATGAACTGTTCACAATAAAATCAATCTGATTTGTCAATTTGCACACAAATCACAATTAAAAAAAGAAAGATCTACTGCCTTGGAAACCCAATGGGGGTTGCTATGAGTCGGAATTGACTTGATGGCAATGGGTTTGGTTTGGTGGTTTTATCTTTAGTTCCTAGATGTGGTGGTTTTCAAATATCAAAGAAGATTTTACCAACTGTTTTAAGGAAAAATGTATCCCCACTGATATTCACCTATATAGACTTGAAGTAACATTCACCTTCCCCCTGTTTTCCTTAGATAACTATTCCCATTCATGAATTATAGTGGCATGGGGAAATACTTTTAAGGTAGACTATAAACTGCTAATTATTTAATAAATACTCATGCAAATGAAAAAAAACTGAGATCTGGAACAAAACTCAAAGTAATAAAAAAAAGACCATGATTACTGGGGGGGATCGAGACTGGTAAAACCCCCAAGATGATATCCCTAAGTCACCTTTGGGCCTGGAATTGAACTCATTCCTGTGGCTTTACTTGCAGCCAAACAATAGATAGGCCTATGAACCAAACAGCTGTTCCAGGGAGATGCACTTCTTACAACAGTCAACCATGGGAGATCAGAAGGGCAGCATTTGCACAAGGAGAAAGACAGGGAGGCGGGAATGCATAGGCAAGAAGGACACAGGAACAGGAAACCAAAAGTAGGAAGTGGGAGGAGAGCTGTTACGTCGTGGGGAAAGTAAACAGTGTCACAAAACAAAACGTGTATGAACTGTTGAATGTAGAACAAATCTGCTTCATAAAATTTCACCCAAATGGTAATAAAAAGTTAAAAGAAATTGAGATCTGATCTACGTATTTCGCCCAGTCTTTCAGTGTCCATCTGTTATTGTGGCTCTTACCAGAATGCTGGGCACCATCTAGTTCTTCCAGTCTCAGGGTAGAGGAGGTTCTGTCTTTCACCTGTTTTGGTGAAACCTTTATGAATTTAGCACTGTGGATGTAACTCAGCATGGGAAGCAATTATAGGTACAATTTTGTGAAAGTAAAATTGATTATTATATATAATCTGTATAATAAAATATATAAAAATTGTTCTGGCTGTCATCATGAAATATATTCAGGAAAACAGTCTTGTGCTACTCTGTCTAATGGCTTTTCTTTATTGATTTATTGAGTTGTGTTAGGTGGTTGGAGTTAAGATGGTGATCTTAGCAGAACTGTTCATAATTGTCTTGGTTGTGGATTCTTTCCCTGAGTTACTATCATGAGGCTTTTACTTTGGGATGTTAGGTAACTACTACAAATCTGTGTATGATTGACATGTTTTCTGCAGTTAAGAATCACAGATGTGATGTAAGCAGCAGTGTTAGAATTGGCTGTGTGGTTTTGGGTAAATTGCATCACCCTGGAGAATTTAATAAGGCCATGCATTTCAAGGCCACAGTGCCTGAGACGTGTACTGTGCTTGGTTTGAGCACTCTAAGGTCATGCTATTCTGGTACTGCCCCTTTTACTCACTTCTTCCAGACCTCTGACTTTAAAATGTAAACAGTGACAATGTGTGGTGGCTGTGCACTAAGTAGTCTTATTTCTAAAGTAAACTGGTTTATTTATGATGTGCAAGCTCACAGTGCTAGGTTGCTTTATGAGAACGTAACAGCAACGACAAACAGCATACATAAAATGTTTAATATTGAAATAAGAGGTTTGCTGATGATAGTAATGATGTAACTTCACTTCTGATTTGTAAATTACTTTAGAGTCCTGCAGAGAAAGTTTTAATACCTATACTTCCTTGGTGATGGGAAAGGCGGACATATGGGACACGTACCTTTTCCAGTTAAAGTTGAACTCTGAATATTTTTGAAACGTACCTTTCTTATGGGCGCTATTTCCTGTGTTTTCATTTTCTGTGTGTGTGTGTGTGTGTGTGTGCGTGCACGTGCACATTTTTTTTTCTTTGGCAGATTTAATCCAATGGGAAGTACAGTGGAAATCAGATTTTTTTATGGATATTGATGAGGCTTTTTATTTTCTATAGCTAACTGGTAGGTACAAAAAGTAATTTTGATCATAAGTACTTGGGCCACACAATATTTCCTTACCATTTTATTCTTCTGGGAAGGTTGAAAAATACTTCATTTATTGTACTTGTGGGTCGAGAATGCAATTACGTGGCTAAAGCTGTGCCATCACATAGAAACATTGTAAACTAAGTGTCCCCTCAGGAGATGGTTTGGGTCAGCCTCCTCCATTCAGGGAGTTAGGCAGCAAAGACTGAACAGATGCAGAATAGTGTGCCCTGGGTCAGGCTGCTCGTGGCTGTGGAAGGATGATTGGATGCGGTGGACGTGGTGGTTTCCAGGACTCACTGGGTCTGGGGTCGGGTGGTTTTCTTCTGGGGGGATGTGGAGAGACCTGGGTCATTCGTGAGAAATCATGTCACGAGTCAGATTCCATCTGTCTTTCTTTCCCTCTTTTCCTACAGGGCCCTTGTGTCCATGACGAGGACTCTGGCCTGTCACTTGTAGGAAAACCTGCCCTGCAGGCCCTGTTATACCATTGCCATTTTTATGACCATGTGAACCAGATGGTACAGCATTGTTTCCAAGGACGGTACATGTTTGATGTGAGCGGTGCTGCCATTGATGGCACCTCAGAAGGCAGTGATTTCAATGGTAACTACAGTAGGTTCGTCTTTATTTTGACACAGTGCAGCATCTTTAAGGTTGAAAGCTTTATTGTTGCAAAATATTTGGAAAATAGGAAGAGTGTACAGACAGGACATCCACCTGCAGTCCTGGTACTGAATGTGCACCTCTTACTCAGGACGTGCCTTCTTCCGGTCTCCCTTCTCTGTAGTTTTTATCTTACGTGATTGTGTTCGTGTCTTGCGTATGTTTTGTGTTCCCTTCTTTCAGTACGCATTGCCTAAGCATTTCACTGTTATAAATTTTTTAGGGAAACCATTTCTGACATTTATTTATGTTTCGTAAGTTATTTTATTCCCTTCAGTAAAGTATAATTTTTTTGTTTTTGTTTTTTCCCTTTCTTTGATAACCACATATACTTTTTTTGAAAGTTCATTCCTCAGCAAGCTATAATTTTGTTTTCTTTTCCAGTCTTTTGATAATTTTCTAGTTCATTTTTGCTGATAGAGACAAAAGCAGTTTACTTTTGATATATTAGCCCCTTATCAAAGTACCTTGCAGAAATCTTTGTATTTCTGTTTGTGGATTCTCTTGGGTTTGCTAAGTATCAGACGGTGGTGGTGTTGGTTGTTGTCAAGTTGGTTCTGACTCCCAGTGACCCCATATGTTCACAATAGAGCTGCTCCACGGGGATCCCAGATCTGTGACCTTTCAGAAGCAGAGGCCACGCCTGTCTTCTGAGGGGCCTCTGGGGGGGTTCAAACGGCCGACCTTCCGGGTCGCAGTCCAGTGCCTTCCCTTCGTATCACCCAAGGATTCCCGTAAAATCTTAGCACATACAAATAGTAACAGTTATGTCCCTAATAATGAAAATATCTTAATAATAATAAAAGTACCTTGTACTTCTCAGGTAATTCTTTAAAAGCAATTTAAAAACGTTTCATATAATTTTATACTTACAGAAAAGTGCAAAAATAGAACAGAGATTTCTTGGCTATCCTTCAGCCATACTTTCCAGTTGCCAGCATTTTGCGGTATTTGTACCCCCTTCCCCCATGTGTATGTGCACATATATAGAGATAAAATTTATTTATTAATTTACTTATTTGTGTGTTTGTGTGTATATGTATGTATGTTTTTTTTCTGAACTGCTTAAGAGTAAATAGTAGACATGAAGCTATTTAACCTTCATATACTTAAGTGTGAATTTCATTTACTATATATAGAAACATACAAACAAACCCATTAAGGTATTTGGTGGTGTTGTTATGTGCTGTTGAGTCGGACCCAACTCATAGCGACCCCTCCTTAGGTTTCCAAGGCAGTATCACTATGGAAGTAGATTGCCCAACTTTCCTTCCGGGGAGTGGCTGGTGAATTTGAACTGCTAGCCTTCTGGTTAGCAGTCAGGTGCCTTAGGCACTATGCTATCAGAGCTCCCATTAAGATATTTACTCTATTTAAGATATTTATTGTATTTAAAAAACAACCAACCAACAAACAAACCCATTAAGTGAGATATTTTTGGTATATAAAAACAACCAAACTCATTGCAATCTAGTCAATTCTGACTTATAGCTACCTTATAGGGTAGAGTTGGGCTGCTCATAAGGTTTCCAAGGCTATAAATCTTTCTAGAAACAGATATCTTTCTCCTGCACAGTGGCTGGTGGACTTGAACTGCCAACCTTTCAGTTAGAAGCTGAGCACTTTAACCACTGTACCACCAGGGCTCTTATTTACTGTTGTTGTTGTTATTTGCCGTCGAGTCGGACCCGACTCATAGTGACCCCTCCTTGGGTTTCCGAGGCAGTATCACTACGGAAGTAGATTGCCCCATCTTCCTTCCGAGGAGTGGCCAGTGGGTTTGAACCACCAGCCTTCTGGTTAGCAGTCAAGTGCCTTAGCCACTATGCTACCAGAGCTCCCTATTTACTATGTAGTTCTAAATTCCCTTTATCTATTTGTAGCTGGCTAAGAGACCTTTTCATAGATCATTCACTGTTTTATAAGATAATTAATGGACAATGGATTATATCAAATGCTTTTTGGTCATTTGGTTAAAGAATTTTTAGTTCTTTAGTGTGATATCTAATGAATTATATTAATAAATATTTTTATGTTACATGCTAAGTCTTTTGCTGATTATTCTTCATCTGTGTGCACAAATGGGAAGGATCTTTTCCTATGTTCTCCTCTTGTTGGGTCTCAGGATTTTGAAAACCTCATAAAATAGATTGATTGGTTCTCATCTTTTTCTAACAGATTATTTCAGGTGAAATTTAACTGATTCTTTAAAGTTTATGTACAGTTGTCTTGACCTATTGCCTTCTTAGGAATGGGTTTTGTCAGCCAGTTCAGTTTCTTCTACATTGTTGGGCTACTTAAGTTTTTCATATTTTGCATCAGTTTTTTTAGATTTTTATTACCCTTTAAAATAATTATATCATAATAAAAAGACCAGGCTTAAGGATCTGATAGAGACCAGTGGAACCCCCACGACTATGACTCAGTCACCCTTCAATCCTTGAACTGAACTTGCTCTTGGGGCTCAGCTTTGAGCCAAATAATAGACAGACTTATGAGGCGCGCTGTAACACCAGGGCGATGGTCCCGCTCCTTATAACATTGAACCATGAGAGACCAAAAGGGCAGCGTTTGCCCAAGGATAAAGCCCAGGAGGCAGAAAACGATGGGAAAGAAAAACAAAGGGAAATGTGAACTATAGAGAGGAAGTGGAAAGAGCGCTGTTATATTGTGGGGATTACAATCAATGTCACAGACAAAATGTGTATGAACTGTTGAATGGGAAACCAATTTGCTCTGTAAACATTCACCCAGATCAAAATAAAGAGTTAGAAAAATAAAATAACCGTTTTATCTGGCTGTTCAAATGTAGCTGCTGTTGTTGTTGTTATATGCCAAGTCGGCCCTGACTCATAGTGACCCCTCCTTGGGTTTCCCAGGCAGTATCACTACGGAAGTAGGTTGCCCAACCTTCCTTCCGAGGAGTGGCTGGTGGGTTTGAACCACCAGTTTTCTGGTTAGCAGTCAAGTGCTTTAGGCACTATGCTACCAGAGCTCCTTAAATGTAGCTATATGCCTTCATTCATAATGTTAAGTTTATGGTATTCTTCCTTTTTTTCTTCTTCTTTAAATCATACGTGTTAAAGGATCATTTCTTTTAGTGGATTTTTAATTAATCTGGTTTTACTGTCTTGTGTGTTTACTGTTTTGTCATTTTCTGCCGATATTTTTTGTTCCTCTCTAATCCATCATTTCCCCTCGCATTTGAAGTTGAGCGCTAATTTATTTCCCATCAGTTGTATTTAAGCTGTTTCCTTTTGAGAGTGTTCTTGCTGTGTATCTCAGTGTTTTCCATGGTGTTCTTAGGGCTGTTTAGTTCTAAATAGTCTATAATTTCCTTTTTTTCTAAGAGTTAAGTTGTATTGTTTAATTTCTAGATGATAAATCCATTTACTTTGAAGATAAATGGGAATTTTTCTTACACTAGCCCTAATATAATTAATTGACTGCTATCCCCATATTTTATAAAGTTTTGTAATTCACTTTTTTGTTTATTTTCCTGGAGGAATTAAAAGGAAAATGACATTTTACAGTTTTTGAACATTCTAAATAAAGATCCCTGTTAGGATAGTGACCCATCTGATGGCTTGGATTTTGCAGTCAGTGTGACTCAAAGTGTGAACCTTGAACCCACAGCATTGGCATCTCCTGTGAGCTTGTGAGCAATGCAAATTCATGCCTCCCACCCAACTTAAGGAATGGGACTGTGGTGACAGGGCCAAGAAAGTACTTTCGCAAGCTTTCTCTGATTCTTCTGCACATAAACTTTGAGAGCTAAACAGCTGTTAGATTAAATTTAAGCAAAATCAATTATATTTGCGTGCCTATATACATGTATACATGCATAAAACTTTTGAAACAAGCTTTATATATAAATTAAGAACAATAAAACTTGGACAAATCTTTTTCCTAAGTTTTTTATAGTTTTCATTTATTGAGTCTTTTCTCTACTCATTGTTTCAGGAGCATAGTTTTCATTTATTGGGTGTTTTTTCTACTCATTGTTCCAAGAGCGTGTCCATGTTAACAGTTTTCCTGTCGTCACAGGTTTAGATGACTCATTCAAGTGTTGGAGGACTCCATCTATGCTGTCCGCTCAAGACCAAGATCCAAGTTCTCTATCTACCTCAGAGACAATGGTACTTCAAGCAATGCATAAGGGCTTCATTTCACTCTGAAACAATGTGGATGTAGATAGTGAGACATCAGGCTGGATGGGAAGTGCAGGGTTATAAGATCACCACTAAGATTTAATTGTCTGTACAGAATTTGGGTAGATATATACTGAAATTGTTTCATTTTATCTGTACGTCATCCAGGTAGGTACTTTTAGCCTCTGTGTGGGGAAGTTGCTCAGAAGTTAGTCACTGTGATAAATAGATGTTAGTCACAGAGTTGAAATTTGAACTTGAGTGGGCCCTACACCACTACTGTCCTGAGTATACCCTTTTAAGTGACAGATTTCAGCCTCCTTCCCCAACTTTTCCGAAAGAACCAGAAGTACAAACATTTTTTGGATGTTTATCAGTAGTAGTAGAAGATGAGAGCAGGTCTCAGATGATTAAAAATGCTTGATTACCCTGAAATTTTGCTTGAGGGCTGGGCAATTTTGGAGAAAGCGTTCAAATGACTGAAGCATGGTAGTGGTGATTTTTAAATCCATTTCTAAATACTTGCATCAGATTGAATCTGGTCTTGATTATCTGAGATACCTGCAGTGTGTGCCTACCTGTCTGCTTCTCTTTTTCTTTCTTTCTTTCTTTCATTCATTCAATGATAAGTTGTTTTGTTCCAAAAACGTTTGAAACAGTAAGTATTGCTAAATAATGAGCTAACACTGGATAAGTATACAGAATCATTTATTCTCAACTGGAAAATACTGTTTAATTGCAGAATTTTTAGAATAATTATCGTGTAGTATGACCTATTATGAAGGCAGTGGTGCCACCTGCGTCCTGAGCAAAAATAGAGCATGACATGAGAATAAGAAGGAATCATGCAGGCGTAAGATGTATCTCCTACAGTTTCTCAAGAGACTGGTTTTGCTATAGTTTTTAGAGTTTTTTTCTAACTTAAAAGAGTTTGTATTTAGTGCAAAATGACCTTTATTTGGACAACTGGAATAATTACTCCAATTCCAGCAAATGTCATGCTTTCATTTCCAAGCTAGAGTAGTATGTAGCTTTCTTCAATCAAGAGAAATAATAATACAATTCAGTACCCAAATGGGTTGTAATAACTGGCAGTTTAGTTCACAGAAGAGCCAGCATCAATGTGGACTGAAGAGTAAATCTTCTTGTGTTCCTCTGTTTGTTAAAAGAGCTGTAGACCAGCTTAGAAATCTTTATACATTCTTCAGTTCTTTGCTTATGGCAGATACTCAGTAATTCCTCCCACTTTTGATTTATCTTAGCTATTTTATAGATACCACTTAAGTTATATTTACCCTATAAGGAAGACTTAAGTACAAGAAAAGCAGAAGAAAGTCCATTTTTTTTTTTATTTTACTATGTTATGAAAAAATATAAACACTACAGATAGTTGTTGGTAGGTACTGTCAACATGGCTGCCCTGCGAACAGTAGAACGAAACGCAGCCTCATGATCGTCATTGTGTTTGAACCACTGTTGCAGTTACTGTGTCAGTCTGTCTTACAGAGGGTCTTCCTCTTTTTTGCCAGTCCTCTATGGTACCATCTCTCCCCAGGGACTGGTTCCTCCTGATAACGTGTCTGAAGTTTGTGAGGCAGAATCTTGCCATCCTTGCTTCCAAGGGGCATCTGGCTATACTTTTTCCAAGACAGATTGGTTCTTTGTTTTGGCAGTCCATGGTATATACACTATTCTTTGCTAACATCGTAATTCAAATACATCAATTATTCGGTCTCCCTTATTGTCTAGGGCTTGCATGCACATAGGGTGACTAAAAATACCATAGCTTGGGTTAGGCACACCTTAGTCTTCAAAGTGACATCTTTCTCTTCAAGACTTTAAAGAGGTCTTTTACAGCAGATTTGTCCAATGCGGTGCATCATTTAAGTTCTGACTGCTGCTTCCATGGGCATTGTTCGCGGAGCCAAGTAAAATGAAATCCTTGACAACTTCAGTCTTTTCTCTTTTTATCATGTTACTTAATGGTCTAATTGTGAGAATTTTTGTTTTCTTTATGTTTAAGTGTGATCAGTACTGAAGGCTGTAGTCTTTAATCTCCATCAGTAAGTTCTTCAAGCCCTCTTAACTTTCAGCAAGCAGGGTTGTGTCCTCTGTATATGACAGGCTGTAATGAGTCTTCCTCCAATCCTGATGCCCCATTCTGCATATAGTCCAGCTTCGCGGAGTATTTGCTCACCATACAGATTCAGTAAGTATGGTGAAAGGATACAACCTAACACATACCATTTCTGATTTTAAACCATGCAGTAACCTTTTGTTTGTTTTGGATGACTGACTTTTTGTTTTCATCTAGATTCTGAATGAGCACAATTAAGTGTTCTGGAATTCCCATTTTTTGAAATACTATCTGTAAATTGTTATGATGCACACAGTCAAATACCTTTGCACAGTCAATAAAACACAGGTAAACACCTTTCTGTTTTCAACCAAGATCCATCTCACATCATACCACTTTCTCTTCTGAATTCACCTTCAATGTCTGACAGTTCCTGTCAATGTACTACTACAACTTTTTTTGAATTATCTTCAGCAAAATTTTACCTGTGTGTGATGGCATTGTTTGATAATTTCTGCATTCCATTGGATCACCTTCTTTGTAATGGGCTCAAATATGAATCTCTTATAATTAGTTGGCCAGGTAGCTATCCTCTGAATTTCTTGGCATAGAAGAGTGAATAATTGTAGCATTCCATCCATTTGTTGAAATATCTCGATTTGTATTCTGTCAATTCCTTGAGGCTTATTTTTCACCAAATCCTTCAGTGCACCTTGAACTTCTTCCTTCAGTACCATTGGGTCTTGATCATATGCTGTCTCCAGAAATGGTTGAATGTTGACCAGTTCTTTTCGGTACAGTGACTTTGTATATTCCTTCCCTCTTCTTTTGATGCTTCCTGCGTTGTTCAATATTTTACCCACAGTATCCTTCAGTATTGCAACTTGAGGCTTGAATTTTTTCTTCAGTTCTTTCAGCTTGGGAAATGCCAAGCATTTTCTTCCCTTTTGGTTTTCTAACTCCATCTAGCTCTTTTTTTTTTTTTTTTTAGCTTTTAAATAGTGATTGGGTGAAATTTTACAGAGCAGATTTTTTTCCACTTAGCACACATTTTGTTTTGTGACACTTGACTACAATCCCCATGATGAAACCGCTTACAGCTCACTTCCCACTTCCTCCCTTTCCCTGTGTCCTTCTTAACTATGTATTCCTGCCTCCCTAACTTTCTCCTGTACAAATGCTGCTCTTTGATCTCCCCTGGTTGATTGTTCTGAAGAGTGCATCTCCTGTAGGTGTTGAGCTCATAGGACTGTCTGTTTGGCTGAGAGTTAAGCCACAGGAGTGAGTCCAGTTCTAGGCCTGAAGTGTGACTAGGGCCCATAGTCTTGGGGGTTCACCAGTCTCTATCTGACCAGTAATCCTGGTTGTTTTTTAAATTTCATTCCACATTTTTGTTCCACTCTGTCTAGGATCTCCGATTCTCATCCCTCCCTGGGTGGTTGGCATTGATAGCTGGGCGCCATCTCATTCTTCTGGTCTCAGTGGCCCTGTAAGCTGTGAGGTCCCTGTGGTCCAGTAGCCCTTGGATCGATTGCTTCTGTGCATCTTTGATTTTCCCCGCTCTTCTTTGCTCTGGACTCAGAGAGACAGTTAGGTACATCTTAGATGGCCCCTGGCTAGCTTTTAAGAAAAGTCACTACTCGCCAAAGTAGGATATAGAGCACTGTTCTGTGTTCTGTGTTGTGCCAGTTGAGATTGAAGTCAGCATGACTGTGGTCCTGAGCCCGCCAGGTGCTTGATAATGGCTCAGGAGTTATCCTAACTTTGTTCCCTGTTAGCTCTGTGATATACGTGGACATTTTTATAGCACATGCAAATATGTATGTAGAAATAACATCTGCCAAACCTATATGTGGTTATGGGTATATGCCTGTTTACGTACCCATACTTCATCTTCTTATCTGTGTACCTACATATCCACCTGTGGATTGGGGTTTGTTATTACTGATAGTGCAGTATTGTGTATGTGAAAGTGTATGTCTTTGTTTTCTGTACCTCTTGTGCACTTCTCCCTGTCTTCCTTTTCCTTAGTGATATTGTGCTAGTCACACACTTGTTATATTGTCTTTCTCTTTATGGAAGTCAACACCTATCTCTTAACTAGCCAGCAATTTTCCCTCTCTTCCCCTTCCATCCCTGGTAACTAACAAAGAAAACTTTCTTTCCTGTGTAGACCATGCCTTCATTTTTCAAAATAATAACAGACTCATACATTCATCCAGTCCTTTGTACGTTTCATTATAATACTTCACTTTGTCTTCTCAAGGCTCTTCGAAATTCTCTTTTTAACCTTTTACTACATCATTTATTTTATTTGCTTTAGCTACTCAACGTTCAAGAGCAAGTTTCAGAGTCTCTTTTGATACAGTTTTTGGTCTTTTCTTTCTTTCCTGTCTTTTTACTGATCTTATGCTGTCTTCAGGTGTGATGTCCTTGTTGTCATCCCATAATTTGTGTGTGGATTTTGGTCATTAATGTTCAGTGTATCAAATCTGTTCTTATGATGCTTTCTGAATTCAGGTGGAATATACTAAAATTTGTACTTTGGCTCTCATGGACTTTTAAAAATTTCCTTCAGCTTCAACTTGAACTTGCATATGAGCAACTGATGATCTGTCTGTTCAGCAGTCAGGCCCTGATCTTGTGACTGATGGTACTGAGTTTGTTCTTCATCTCTTTCCACAGATATAGTTAGTTTGATTTTTGTGTATTCCATCCAGCAAGACCCATGTGTATAGTCACTATTTATTGTTTTTCAAAAGGTATTTGCATTGAGTAAGTTGTTCGTCTTTAAAAATTTTATCACATGATCTCTGGTATAATTTCTGTCACCAAGGCCGTATTTTCCAAATGCTGATCCTTTGTTTCCAACTTTTGCAGTCTGACCACCAGTAATTATCTGTGTATCTTG